AACTACATTGACAAGAGTAGCGTGTAAGGTACTGGTGTATCAATATCAAAAAGTATCTTTTTATAGTACAGAGTTGTTGAAATAATCGCCAAATGTTAATTTTATTTTATTTTATTTTTTTTTTTGAAACTGAAGAACCTGTTCTACTTTGATAAAACATGTAAACGTGTTTTTCTCTTTAGAACGTGATGCTTTTGTCCATAAATGTTAATGTCATCATGATTAAAATACGAACTTTTTTCAATTCCCATTTGACAAAAAAAAAAAAAATAAATAAATAAATAAATAAAATAACGAAGGCAAGATTAGGATGGTGACACTACTAAATGCACACTGCTATTCCTAGGGTCTATTCCCACAACTTTAGATCGATCTATCACCGCGGGGAGTCTCACCAGACTACCGTCAGATAATCCCCCTTAAGTGTCCGTCCCCGCCCACTACAAGCCGTAAGGGGCAATTAACTTTCGTGTCCGCCCGGCTGACAGCTATTCAGCGCGAACCCCCAGGGAGTTAGGTCGATCCAAAGTAGGTCGATCTAATCTATGGAAATGGGGTGCTAGTCGCCCCCCTCCCCCTCTTCCACCCCGCCAAACACACGCTCACACCTGAGATAAGGTGTACCGTAATTAACAGACGGGCAGTGATTGACAGCTTGTCAACCAATATTAAGTCCACTGATCAAAGGGACGCTTCTCCATGCCCTCAGGCTACCCTGTATCACAGCCCTGCCCGTTAATAAGTGATAAGATCTAACATTTGGTCATTAGAGCAGTGGAATTCTTTTAATAATCATAGGACAACGTTAAGTATGTTAATATGTTTATTCATTTTCCTACAAATCAAATACAGGGTGGCAGATATAGGAAAATTTCAAAAAGCCAGATAATCAAATGACTGTCTGTTCATCTAAAGACAAATCTGTGAATATTTAGTGAAAAATCAATCTGTCGCCGTGGTAGAGGGACATTTTTCCCATATGCTGATCTGATATGCTCAGACCCGAAAGTTAATAAAATTTAATAAAATTTTGCTACTTCTAGCACAAAATGCATGTTCAGTTACATTAAGATTTGGTATTTTTTAATGTTACATAGTTTTCTAAACACTTACGTAAGTCCCCAACACCGGGCTTGTAATGCTTGGAGAATGAATTGTAGGGACAATATTTGACGGTGAACTTTCAATACATACGTCAGTGTAAAGAACTTACTCAGTATTCGTATCAAACATTCACTTTTGGAGACTGTGCTGTTATCACTGAGGATATATTAGATTTTTCGTTGTTGTCCTGTATCCCTTTGACATGATTGATTATATGTATATTATGATTGTATGTTAACAAGATAATTGAATTTTTATTTATAGAAAACTAAGATGATTTGTTTCTGGCGAAATGGGGATAGAAAAGATGCTTATGTGTTTTGCCAAGGTCTGCCTCTATGCAAAAGAAAGAAAGAAAGAAAGAAAGAAAGGAAAAGAAAAGAAAGAAATAAAGAAAGAAAGAAAGAAAGAAAGAAAAAGAAAGAAAGTATTATTTCCTTGCTCAAGATTTCACAGAAAAAAAACTTTTTTTCGGTTTTTTAAATGATCTTAATAACCAACACCCCTCTCCCCCCCCCCCCAAAAAAAAAAAAAAAAAAAAAAAAACTAATGATTTCAGTACTAGTAATGACGCACGAATTGAACGCTCCTCCCACATCCACTAACATTCGTTTAAGGACGGTGCATTTCTCCCTAATATGTACCCATTGTACAGGCACTTGACTATAGATTGTTTACATATTCTTTTTACATATCTATTTGGATTGTAGAGATTTGTAGAGATCCTCATACCAAAATGTAAGTCTGACATCAAAACTGCCACGTGCGTTTTTTTTAATATTCAGTTACCACATATATTTAGAATTCATGCAGTAGTGTCTTGTATATTTATAGCGGTTTTCTCTCCTTCAGGCTAATAAGTCCTATCAGCCTCCGCAGCTGAGGTGGTTTTAGAGAAATGCGGTTCGTTCTGTTCCACCTGTCGTTCTTCACCCTGCTTCACATGTCTCATAGGTGGTTTGGTTTTACTGTCGGGGAGCAAGGACGTTCCATTGTTATTTAACTGTTTGGAGTCCGGAACCTTGTTCACTTGAACACACGCCACAACTGTCGCTATTAGCTGAAAAAACACTACGACGCAGAGACACCAATTACAAATCTGAAAATTAAAAACATCAAAACTAAGTAAATAACTTGAGACTGCGCCACTGACGGGGGTCACGCAACACAAGGCTTTATTTCAATTCTGTGACATCTCTGTAGGTGTATATCAGTGATTGCTATAACAAAAGAAAACAAAAAGGTGCAAATATTGAAATTGAAAAAAATTCTTTTTTCGTGATCTACATTGTATATCTATCACAAAATATTATTTCATAACATTCGACATATAAAAAAAACATTGCTCATCTAAAAAGTCAGTTTTGACGTTAAAGTACGCTTTGACGTGAAACATCAAGTAGACTAAAACGTCAATATCGATGCATCACATGGTCTAAACAGCAACGATTATATACGAATATTTACTTACAACTGATATGTGCATTGGTACAAATATAATTTTCTCCCTCTTTGGATTCGACTCTAACACCACAGAATGTTCATTACAGTGTGCCCATCTACAAAGAAAAAAAGCTATACTTTATACAATCTTCACTGTGATACACTGCGTATGTATGTTTTCACGCTTGCGATATATAATTGTATATAGGCACTTTGTATAAAACAAGTGTTGCATAACGCGCGTGCGCGCGTGCACACACACACACACACACACACATAACTTTTTTAAAACGAACAGCAGTGTAAGTTATAAGCGTTTCGTGTGACGAAAAGCAAACACGTTGATGAAGATGAAACACATAAAAGATAATTACACGTACGACTTTTAAATTAAATCTGCACATGGCAATGTATTCATTTTACAAGAGGGGCTTAGATGTTTAATTTTAAAAAAAAGCGGGAAAAACGCAGTAAAGATTATACAGGCAGTGAAAAGTTTGGCTGGACGGGGAGGGATATGCAGGTCCGTGGCCAGGGCGGTTGGGGGGGGGGGGGGGTTCGAAAGAATCCCCCTTTTTGCCGGGAAAAGGTCCGCTCTGGGTAAAACTTTATCAAGGTACATAAAGGTTTCATAGTAAAAGATCCAATTTTTCAGAAAAAGAATCCCCCTTTGAAATTGCTGGCTACGGTCTTGGGTATGTCAGAAAAATAATTCATGGCTCAGCCACACAAGTGTACCAGTAGGTGTTAGACACTGTTGTAAAAAAAAATCTAGCCATTTTTTCACTTCTGAAAAATATTGCTACAGCTGTGAGGGACAACTGTACAATGTTTTGTGCTCTCATTGCGTTTTCTTCAAATTTGAATGAAATTAAATATAATGTAGTGGTTAGAATTATTTAAAAGATACAATACAGTTGGCGCGCCCTCCAGGAAAAATCTGTCATTGTCATAAATAGATATTGCTTGGAGGGAATTTTAAATTTAAGCTTAAACAAGGCAGCACAAAGATTGTTTGCCATGTCCTGAGACAAACATCATTATATAGCGAAATACTGGAATCAGTCACTGGATGTGTATACTAACATGACTGACGAATTATGTAGCTAATGGGTCAGAGTCAAGCCAGGGTCATTATCAAACTCGAGAATAGGGATACAGTGACGACCAAAGGGACAATAATAGCCTGAAATTATGGTTAATATTGGGAGCGTCCAATCATCCATCTGGGAATGGACAACCGATAAACAGTTATCTGTCGATCTATCATTTTCACCCTTTAAACTCTGTGTAACACCCCATTTCCATAGATTTTTAGATCGATCTATCACTGTGGGGAGTCTCACTAGATTACTGTCAGCTTGACCGGCTTAAGCGTCTGTCCCGCCTACTAAAAGCTGTAAGGGGGTAATTAACTATGGTGCCCGCTCGACTGACTGCAATTTAGCGTGAACCCCCAGGGAGTTAGGTCGATCTAAATCTTAATCTTTAGATCGATCTGAATCTCTGGTAAAGCACCCTAATGCCTATGACACGTACCCTGAGTGTCAGAGCAACGTAAAAGCTAGCTTGCAAAATATACCTTGTGGTGGAGTCGCCTGGTATTGCTACTATGGGTTATATATGAAATCAAGATCGAGCTGGCAATACCGGAATCTAGAACCTAGGGTAATGACACGGAGAATATCGACAACTGCTGTCCGTTTCTGGCTCTAGCGTATCCAGAATTTCTAGATGAAATGAAGCATATCTTCCCCTGTTTTACACTGCTTGGCAAACTATTTTTTGGAAATTTGCAACATTTTTTTGGCCTTAGAAAACGCTCCCCCTTTTTTTCTGCAAGGGCAAAGTTTGGAAAGGGGGCCTACCGCATATGTATAAGTATGACTTAAATCCATATATCACGCTGAAAGCAGCAAGCATGTAGAGAGGATAAAACATAGAGAAAAAAGTAAAAGTGATCTTGACAAGATAACGAGAGAATCTCAGTCAGAGGTCCAAATTCATGTCTTATCTCAAGCAGAGGTTCCAAACCCAAGATGAAGCTTAACCGAGGAATCAAGACCAATTTTTCTGTACAGAAACAAGACATCAAATAAACAGAGAGCATCAATATAAAGTAGTAGAGCCTTAGAGAATAGGAGAGGGCTTATTCAAACTTAATCCATCATTTGAAAAGGGCTACAGTTGGCCTAGGCGCAATGAGTTTTTTTCACGAAGGACGAAGAATAAGAAGCCACATTCACGAGTCAGGGAAGGGGGTTCTTCACAGATCATGCTAAATAATGTGACGGGTGATATGAGCGTTTAACGCATCTCGGGAAATACATTTAAAAGGGGGCTTTAGGGGCTTTCGCGCGAAAATACCTAAATGGGACTTTTTTTAATATTAGACAGTGTATGTACAAAGAGACACTATGAAAAGGCGAATCTTGTAGCAACTCTCTCTCTCTCTCTCTCTCAACACTCGCGCGCGTCTACTACTCACCCTAGTTCGGTCTGCAGTGTATTACACCAAGCACGGAATCCTACTTCTCTGACTACGGCCGCCGCCAGCGAGAACCCGAACAGACAAACCTCTAGGATCAGCATAGGAACGGTCAGACAAACCTTGTGTCTGGAGAAGAAGCATGAATGAATATATTCTTATTTTAAGAAGTCTAGATAATTATGAACTTAGTTGAATATTGTGACGTCGGTAACTGTGAAGGTAATTTAAACTGAGAAAGACAAAGCAATCTGAATGCGGCGCTTATCTTTCTTTGTTTTGTTTTTCAGTCTTGCAGTGTCACCGATGAAATTGACACATTAACAGGAGAAAAAGCACTAGAGAGGTTGGATTTTAGGTCAAATTTGACGCAATAAAACAAAAAATAAAATACAGACTGTTGGACAGTAGAATAATAACATGTGTAATGTGATAATATAATAATAATTTGAGATGGTTATTTACTTCTGTTTGTTGATTTTGTGGGACTGGTAAATCGATGTTCGATTGATGTCCTTAGAAATAATATTGTCAGCAACATTAACGGACAATCGATTGGAATTTACATTGGCCTCCTACATCCTTTAGTAGTAGGATACTTGTAACACCAAAGATGCATTGATCAGATTTATATAGATTAAACACCAATTCTTAAATACTTTAAGATTACAAGTCTAGCCGCCTTGGGAACACGTTCTTTTCATACATAAATCCTGATCTGAAAAAGGCTAGCATGAAACTGAACTTTCGTGTAAATCAATAAGGATAGACTCTTCAATTATTCTGGCTTTTTCCACAGTAGAGAAGAACAGATGTACAGCCAATCTGTAAATTAAATGGACGTAAAAAGACCTCAGGTAGTATTTTAGGTTTGTACTGCTCTCTACCTTGTACAAGATTATTTGTAAGTTTTAGAAAGCAGGTACCTCGAGAACACGTTTTTAAATAGCATACGTAGCCGCTGCAGGTAATAAGACCTTTAGAAAGCGCAAGAAGAGTGTACAAGATCATCAGCTCAGCGATGTACACCCCAGACCTCATGAATCATCTTTTTTTCTCTTACTGATGTTTTACGCTCCTTTTACCTAATGATGTCTATGCTTTTCCATCCGGTTAAGATGCCAGTTAAGAGAATTGGCCTTGATACTCATTAACGTATTGAGCCGCACCCCTACAAAAATATTCATATAGATTATGCCATTATTTCCCTTAAAACATCCCCTTTCGAAACTGTCCTTTCTCCAATATTTAATTAACCCTTGTACATCATGAAAAATCTTCAAATCACAGAAGAGGGTTGTTTTCCTAAGACAGATGGCAGCAGTGTAAGCAATAGTCACCCAACGGGCGGTAGGGCACTCCGCTCGTATTTTAAAGCAAAAGAAAAAATTAAAATAAAGAAGGGAGAGAAATAAGTGAAAGATGTAAAAGGAATAATTGACTCACCTGTTATAGTCACCACGCCTAAAGAAGACAAAAATGAACCAGCAGCTGATGACAGAAACGATGATGTCGAAGATGATGGCGTATGTGCAGTATTCGCACCAACTCATGGATCCCCATTTCGTTTTTTCCAGTCCAACGATGGCCGACCCGTTAGCAGAGAGAAGTTCAGGTCTTGCAAATAAGATACAATTGTCTCCCAACTGACTGATGACTCTTCCGAACGGAATGACTGTAGCGAAACTTAGAGTGATAACCAGACAACGTGAAAAAACACCCGCTATTGCCTGGAATTGCATCGTCTGCTTCGCTGTTTCTGAGAATGCATACGAAAACCAAACATGTCTGCTTTACATTATACCGTTTCCATCCATCCCTAGTCAAACACGACAGATGTGTTAAAATGCCGTTGCTCAGAAATATAAACAATTAAGAAGAGGAACTCGAGCTACACGAGATCTGATAAGCGAACGGAAAGTCCAAATTAACCTGCCGACAACTGCTCTTCTTTGAAATGATTGACAAATAACAGAAGTGCTCTCCCATTAAAAATGAGAAAGGTCAAAGCAACATGCCGGCTTATAAGATATTAAAAAAAGCCACGAAAGACCGCTGAAATGCACGGGGACTTCTAGGCACATCGTGATGCAAGTTGCATCACGTGTCTGTGATACGTCTAGTATGATGAACTGATAACTACTCGAACTACTTGTACGGAAACGGCAGCTCAATTTTGTCAACCAGAGTCACATGTGGACGGTTTTCACTTTCCTATCCGTGAAACAAATGTGTTTGGACGTGATAATATGTCAACAATTCACATAAATGCTGCGCGGAACTGTTTTCACAATTGTAACAAAATTTAGGGGCATTTTTATGATTGAACAAAAAGAAATGGGTGTTCAGAGTTTGGTAGAAAACTACTAAAGTCTTATAATCAGTTGAACATTAAAACGCAATAAAACTGTTATGGACATTTCAATCAAATCTAGTTTAACATTTGTGAATTAATAGTCCACGAGAAATTGTGTTGCTTAAGGAGTTTTTTCTTGATGCAGGGTCCCAAAGGGCCCCAGCATAGATTTAACTTAGTTGTCACTTTAGGCAGCTAAAAATATCCATGATGGCCACTAATCCCCAGTAACTACATGTAGGCCTACCTGAAACTGGTTAAAATAATATATCGTTTCGTTTTACAGACACTAAAATTAAAGCTAACAACAAAACTACGTAAGATGGTTTTGGGGCTGCATGCAACAATCAAGGACATCCAAAGGTCATACAACAGCCAGAAATATCATTCTTCATATTCTCTTGAAATATCGATTTATGCCATTTTTCAGTCACGATTTTGAACTAAATGCATATTGTCGTTGTATCATATTACAGACAATCAAATCAAATCGAGGAAAAATTCATAGGAGACACATTTTATAGATTCTAGGCTATATAAAACTTTGCCTATACTTCGACCACACTTTACAAATGAGTGGGAATGGCTGTTGGACTCCATTTCCTATGAGGAGAGACAATGAAATGCCAACTTTCAATTGAAACATATCTAATAAATCAAAGCCAGAAAACTGTAATAAAACCATATTTATTAGAAATTTCATTGCTTTGCAATAATATCAAGATATATTTGCTTATTGGTATAATAGTGGCCATCTCCAGTTGAACGTCTGCTGAGATCACGTGACTGGCTTTACCGTGCGCCACAAAACACAGGGAGGTCTGTAGGTAGAAAACACGGCAGTGTTTGAAAATAAAAAGTTTACTTCAGTAAAACATTCTGACTATAATTTGAGAACGAAAACGAATCATATTTCATTACTGGATGCTCTGATCGCAACTTTGTTCAAAACACTTAAAAGAATCAGTTATACTAGAGTAGTATACAGTATTGCTGTGCTACTTTTAAAGTTCTGACATCTAGAAACTCAATATCTGTAAATATCTGCCTAACAAATCTCAAGATGCATTAATTGGCCCACATTTCAAAGAGTTATTATTATTAATTATGTGACATAATCTTCATTAATCCTAAATTACAGCATAAAGTATAGATAGACTTCCACAAACAAGATATTTTAAATTGTTAGAAATGAAAATAATTAACTCTGTTATAGAATCATATTGAGCAAACTTAACAAACAAAACAGACAATAATTAATATATGGCACCATGCATACCAAAACTAATTGCAAATCAAAATTGAGTGAATGAAGCCTGTTTTAGTGAATAAGTAGCACCTTCTGTTGAATGAAAGAATGAGTGATAAATTGAAAATGCCTATTTAAGCTATATCTACACCACATTTACAACATATGAATCTCAAATGAAGCTCGTAACAGTAAGGCAAGAGCAGCTTGTCCACCATATAAACACCGAGTAAGAATCTCTTGAATATTGCACTTGGACACATTTGAAAGACGCGCGAGAACTCCATTGCTTAAGTAAGACATGAACTTTTCTCACAACTTTGGCAACAAGAGGGCATTGCATTTTGTTTGCTTTGCATCGTTTTTCAAAACGATCCGACCCGATCAAGCAAAGCCTGTACCAAACCTTAGTTGTAAGTGTTACTGTATACAGCATTTTTATATCATTTCTGGAAACCTTTGTCCAATAAAAATGGATTTTTCTGAATAAATTTAACAATTCTCTATTTCATTATCTGTCTATAGTAACAGTACATAATAAGCTCTCTTTTAAAAGAGTCTTTCATTGAGTGCTATGAGAGTTTGTGTCCTGACACAGATGTCCTGTAAAGCTGTCTTCTCTATTATATATATATTCCATCCTACACAGTTTTCCTGAAGTCTCTACTTGAGCAACTAAGTTTATTTTTCTCTTGCTCTGCCTCTCTCTCTCTCTCTCTCTCTCTCTCTGTCTTGGGGATAATTCACTGGTGGTTCATTAAAGATGTAGGCCAAGCAATCTTTGCTCCATTCCTTTTATAAGCAAAGGAGCCTTTCTTTTCTTCCGCCACCAATTCTGCTTTGATGTTTTGTGGGCATGCACTGTCTCCTAGGTGAATTTCTGTAATGATGACAACAATTTATAAATCAATTATGAAATTGATTGGATGGACAAAATAAAACAATTTACAAACTGAAATCCTTATTCAATATGTAATACAGGATGAGTGGTGTCTTAGCAAACTGAAGGGATTAAATAATCTACACAATAGGAATCTTTCCACAACTTTCTATGTCAAAGTTGTCACTCAATAAATTATATATATATAATTTCTACATTTTATCAAAAATTTGTTTCCACTTACTAATTTTTGACTTCTGAATCAATGTTTTATAAAGAGTAATATTTTTAGTAAATGATTTTCAAATTTTTTTCACAAGTTTTAAAATTGACCTTGAACTCACCTTGACCATCACAAAGAAGATAAAGGCCATAGTCCTGGGGGTTGGTGACCTTGAACTTGTGAGCAATCATACAGCCTGAAAAAAATACATAAGCATAAAAAATAAACCAAATGCAGGGTGGGTTTGGTAAATGTGTAACAGTTACCAAAAGGACAAGTTTATTCTCCTGTGACCTGATAACTGTTAAGGCACAATGATACTCCCACACCATTTTCCAATTATCTCCATCCATTGCTTCACTTAAATATGTGATCATCTCTGGTCTTGATCACTCTTTATACTTTAAATGCCATTTAAATATTTGAAAATCACACATTCAATTACTTCCAACAGCCATGAAGACACTTACGGACTTCTTTAGTGGACATGTTAGGTCTGACAGGCATAATTTTGCTCATGATACTGCCATTGTTTTCATCAGGTATCACAACCCTAAGGAAACCTTGGAAGTCTGCTATGTTGGAAGACTAAAAAGAAAAAAATAAAATAAATATTTAAAATAGGACATATATCACAGACAGTGAAAGTTAAATAAATATCATAAATAAGTTGCGATGCACTCATCCATATTTTACACATTTTCCCATTCCCAAACTGAAAAATCTTAGCGCTATCAAGGAATAAACAGTCAAATTAACCTTTCGGGACTAAAACAATGGTTTAGACTTACATCACTGCCCCAGGAGCCCACAGGCATCTCCTGTACTTCCTTCAAGTTCTTCAGTACGTGGACAGCCGAGCTGAGAGTGGTCAGGTAGTAACCCCCCTCGCCTGCCAGCAGAGAGTGATGGAGGAGACCCCACATATAGTCTGCTTCTATCTCAGCGGAGACCATACCGCACTGAACCAACACATAAATGAACATAGGCAAGAAATCTGAAACAGAAGGTTAATGCAAACTTATAATTCTCAGAAAGGCAGTCAAAAAAAGAATCGCAAAAGTTTTGAATTATTTATAAGTATTCGCATTGACTCTTCTTTAATTAAACTTTCTTCATCCCAATATTACAATATTAATTGTTTCAAATATCCATCTTGGATATGAAAAAAAAAATTTATAAAACGAAAATCAAAATTTCAATTATCTATAAAGCACGTAGTATTGTACTGACCATCTGCAGCTAGCGCCACCTGGTGGCCTGATCTTCCTCCACTTCCAGTTGCTGTCCTCACCTGGAAAATAAAAAGAAAAAATGAATAAGATGAAAAATATTTATAAGAAGAAAAATATTAATAATTATCTGCTTGAAATACTACATAAAAACGTTAAGCATGTATAAATAATTTTAATTCAGTGCACATAATTACATAAGGGTAATAGGAAAAAAAACAGGATATTTTTCTCTACAGAAAAAATACACGTGTACAGCAGACGGTTTACTTACACTGTTATATATGGAAGAAGTGGCATTCAGGAGGTTTTCAAGTTTCTTGAGTGGAGAATGAGCTTTTTGCATCTTCTGCAAGAAGTGCTTGATGACATCCATAGAGGTCCCCTGGGGAGGCTGAAGCTCAGGCTGTTAAGTGAGAACAAGTGTTTCTTTAAGTAATATAGAGGTCAAATATCATTTTTATTCAAGTAAGCTAAACAGGGAATTTAATTTGGATACCATAAGCTTTCTCATAGACTCATTTGTACTACACTGTGGTTAAACTAAGAACTTAAGTAACTTGCTTTGACTGATTTTGAAGCATTGGGTATAATAGTTTTTTAATTTTTATTCTTTTTTATCATCAATAATTGCTGTAAATATACAGTTATAATCTTTTGGGTAAAGACCTTTATAATTTTTGCAAAAGTGCATAAACTTGGATTTACTTGACTCAAATGTACTTTAGAGTCTTAATACCCCTGTGTACTTACCCTGACTCCAAGTTCCTGAGAAGTCTTGGTGGATGCATATTTGATGTTGTCAGAGAGGAGTCGAATGCTGCCATTTCTGGTGTACTCGTTTACAAAGAGCTTGTAGATGTGTTGTTTCAGAGGTCTTACAATACACCTGTTCAGGGCTCCTTCTATGATGGCATCAATGTTCAGAAATTCTTCTGGCCCAAGCTGAAGTAAATGGGATTGGATTGTAGACCACGAGACATATAAAGGGAATTTTAATTAGTTACCATGCTGTGCAAATTGTGCCAATGAAAACTGCTGCAGTTCTACTTTTTTTTTGTCAGGACAATCTGAGGTTAATAAAATGCAGAAGGAAAAATTCAAGGTATATCAAATTTGTCAATAGAAACTGAAGGAAAAAAGGTTTCAAATATGACCTTTTCATTTCAATGCAGTTGTCTGACCTATTAGTTCAGACCACTATATTTGTTATGCCACATGCTGAAGCTAAAAGTGCATTTGTTTTCCCATCTTTATCATTAGATACCAGCTGACTTAAATCAGAGAGCATTTATTCATAATAACGTCTTACCTTTTTCCTTTCTTTTTCAATTATGTCATCCAAATTTCCCTCTCCATGTTTCACAAGATAATTCTTTATTCCACTCATAAATTGGCGGACCTTATATAAAAACAGAATTGTCAATTTTTCTTACTTTAAAAAGTGGTAAAAATGACAGGAATTGCATGCTTGAAGTCTTTCATAACCTATTTTATATAGCATTCTGGAGTACTTATCAAAGCTGAAAAAATTTTTTTTCGAAAAATAACTCATAGTATCCTGGATGTACTGCTTCATCAAATATTAAACAATTATTCTCAAAAGTTTTTAAAATACTAATGTAATAATATGAACAAAAAATATGTCAGAAAAACTTACATTCCTCAACACCACATTAGGATTAGTTTCATTACTTTCTCTTGTGCACTGTAGGAAGTTTTCTATTGTGCTACCAAACGTGGTGCAATGATCCATGGAAAGCCTGAATAATAAAACACACCCCAAGTTACAAAATTTTCTTTTTCAATCTTTTGCTGAAGAACAAACTCTTTGCTGGGAAATGCAACAAAGAGTTATCCACATGTCATTTAACAAATTTATTAGCTCAATCTATGCTACTGACTCATCAAATTATGGAAAACACATTCAAGCATTATTGACAGATAACTTTACAAAATCATTAACTTCTACAGACAGATTGAATGAGATTTAATGTCTGCTTTTATACAACCAGAATCCTTCTTCAGATTTCTTAATATTTAGTAATATTTTACGTTGGATATACCTATAAATATAGTCTCTGATCTTCAACCCTGGATCCCTGTTATTTTGTCTCATACTGGTCACACGTTTGGCAGCTGAATGATATCAAAATAAACTTAAGATTCATTTAATCCAGACCTGTTGAATAGTGTGATATTGATATAATCTGTGACATCGGGCTACACACTTTAAACTTTATCACAAAAGCATTTTGCAACAAAAATAGAAAATATCACTTACAAAGAAATGGCCCAAGACGTTCACCGAAACTGGAACTGATGCTGTGGCTTTGCATCCTAGGCTCAATCTGAAGAACATCTTCTTCCTCTTCATCTTCGTCACTGCAAATATGGTCCTCCTGTTCATCTGTTGCCATGGTAACACCATTTTCATCTACCAGTTTACCGTCTATCAATGTCAGTGGTTTCCTTGGTGATTGTGTCCCTGGCAACTGAGTTGTAGGAGAACCAGGCTGAGACAATGATGTTGGACCACTAGATAACTTTGATCGAAATGACTGGGGCTTCCTGGATGTCCCTGGCTGTGATTGCGATAGTTGAGCAAGCTGTTGTGCCTGATTGTGTTGTGACCTGTTAGAGAGCTGTCTCTTGAGATTAGGTGATGTGGGTTCAGGACTCCCTGGAGCAGATGACTTATTAGAGAGCTGTCTCTCAAGGACCTGCCTGTGTGGCTGGTTTACTGTCTGAAGAGAAATAGGTTTCAGGAAGATGTGATTTGTTGGAGAGTCTGCAGCACCTCCATTGGGAAGGGTCATTCTTCTCCAGGAGTACACGCTCTCAGTCTCCATGCGTCCACACAGCACCTCTTGGTCCAGTAACTGCTGGTCTATTGTGTCCCAGTGGGAGTGGTCATGCTCCCCATCACTTGAAAAAGCATTATCATAGGTGGACGTCTCATTGTATTGACTACTTTGTACTTCGCTAACCCCATTCTTGTCTAAATGTGGAGGAGAACCTGGTGGAAGAGAGTATTTAGCCTCGTGAGCAGTCCAACCTAGATTTAACAGATCATCCCACAGACTGCTGTCCCATGGTTTGGAGAATATTGTCCCGGAGTATGTACTCTCCGTGCGACCACAGTTTTTGATATCATCGAATGTGACATTATCGTAGGTGGACATACGTTTCAAGTTTTCCAGAGTTAGTTCCCCAATGGGTCTGACTTTGAGATCTGGAGCTATGATGTCCTCCACTGTGGTGATGTCTGAAAGGGATGAACTTTGAGAAGTGATATCTAAAGGAAATGGGTGATCTGTGTGAGTGCTCTCCATTGTTCCATTCATGTCATCCTCATCTATAAAAACAAAGTCATCAGAGGTGACTGACCTCCTGCCTTCAGAAATGCCAACCCCTCCTTCACCTCTTTCACATTGTTGCTGTAAAAGCTGTTTCTCCATCATGTGGTCCTTCTTGCTGACACTGTCTATACTTATGGCACTTGGGGTTTGGCACTGTGAGCGAACTGCCGGGGATTGGGTGTGACTTCGGCTGGACTTGGCGAGACTGGATGCACGTGGGTATGTCCACTGAACGTGCATATCTTCTGTACCGTCTTGGGGTTCAGGCTTGGTAGAAAAAACAGCATCATCATCCTCAAAGGATGCTATACTCTCCCGTTCCTCCTCCTCTTCTGCCACAGCGTTCATTAAAGCTAAATTTTCCTCCTGTTGTCCATACTCCAAAGAGAGCGATGTCTGTGTCTCTTCATTTACCTGTGCAGACTGTGTATTAGACACAGTCTTGAGCTCTTCCACTGCCGTATGCAGGTTGGCCATTAAACTGTCAAATGGCTCAGCATATATGGGACTAGGATTGTACACAGCCTGAGCAGATTCAGTCTTTAAACCAGTGGAAGTTTTTCTAAATTGAATTCTAACTTTAGAAGCTGATTGCTGTGAGGATGAGTTTGTATTTGAACTGCCATGGACAGTTATTGTTGACACTGGTGGAGGTGGTGGTGGGACAAAAACTGGTGGAGGACGCAGCTTTTGTTGCTGATTGACATCAAACGTGAACACCACTGGTTCTGAAGTCTTCTTATTGACTCCTATAGTGATTTCTGACCTGTAACTTTCTTTACTTTGAAGAAGAGATGTCACAGCTGTCGTAACTTGGGATGTAACTGCAGAAAACGTAGAATTTACAGTCACAGTGTTCTGGGCTTTCTGCTGAGTTGTCAGATTTCGAAAAGATGGGTTCACAAATCCAACATTCGAAACAGGTCGTGAGTGTGGAATATGATCCTGAGAATTATGGGATTGACTTACAATATTCTGGGATTGATGCACAGCACTTTGGGATTGACTTGATGCACTAGTGGTAGTAATAGCACCCTTGATTTTGTTTGACTGAAGTTTGCTTTTAAGGGATTTGTCTCTTTTTCTGGCTGGCGACTCTGGAGTCCAAAGATCCTCATAATCGCTCAGGCGATCTGAAAGGTTACTCCTATAATATGGTGTGTCTGGAGTCCTCACTTGCTCTATTCCAGTAGACTTATATGCAACTGGAGCATGCACCAGATTTTTATTCACACTTTCTGAGGCAACCTGTGACTGGTATTGACTGACAGTTTTTGTGCATACTTTTGCTTTCTGTGGCACCGCATAGGTAACAGTCGTTGACGTTGTTGTAGTTGTGGTCACCGTTGATGCTGTAAGCAGGGACTGTTTTGCATCTGATGATATTGATGGCTGACTTTGTTGTTCCTGTGTAGAAGAGCTCTGTGTAGTGGTGGTTGCACTAAAAGAAGGCCCAGTCGTGGTCACAACATTCTGCCCAGGTAGAGTCCCATCGCTGGACAACTGAATTGAAGCAGTGCTAATGAAACATGGCTTTGGCTGTTGCAAGCTTGACTGTTGTAAGCTCTTTACTGATCCTGCTGAGCCTGTGGGGCTAAATGATTCAAAAGTAAATCCACTGACACGTTTTGACACCTTAGAGTTCTGTTTTTGTGATGAGCGTATTAATTTGGGTGTCTTCTTTTTGCTTCCGCTGCTTGAACTCCTCTGCACCATTCTACATGGCTGGCGTGGGACTAGTTCAGAAACTCCAGTTTCACCTTTTTTCAGATTAGGTTCTAAATGCACTGGACTGTCCACCTTCTTCACTATGTCCACAGGGCTGCTTCTATGTGGAATCTGTCCCCTATTTCCACTATTTCCCTGCTACCACTACTACTGGAAGTTGCTGATTTGGTCCAATGAAGAGAAGAGCTCCAAAAATCTGTAAAAAAAAGAAAAACCATACTTTGTACTAACCTGAGTTGAAAGAAGGAATAAGACTTACTTATAAAGTAGCACTATTAAAATAATGTTAGCTAAAATAATATGAACTACTAGCAATATTAAAAGTACTTTAGGCTTAAAAGGGGGCAAAAGATAAAAATTTGCCCTCCAGTTTAATCCAGACAATGGTAACTGTGTGTAATAATTTCCAATGCAATCTCCTCCACAAACTGGCATAACAATGGCACACAGATATACCTCACTCTATGCACTCTCTCCAGGGAAAACTGCATTAACAATAATTAAAAAACATGACTCAATGTTAACTATATCTTCTATGCATCCCCTGAGATAAGTGGTCCTGTTTGATTGATAAAGTAATCATGTGCTGGGGTAATTCCATGTATTGTTAAAGCTGACAGCTTCCCACTGGGACAAGCTTGAGGGCATGGAAACCAACCCAGACACTAAACACATTCTGGATATTGCACTTCTCTCACAAAGACAAAAAAAAAAGGTTTCATAACCCCCATCTGCAGCAATTTTATAAATCACCATACATATCTATATTTAATCCGTTTATGTGATAATGAAAAAAGCAGACACCCTGCTCTATCAATATAGAAGAATCCAGTTTCTTTGGTCTCGCTCATTCTCCCCCTCCCCATTCCTACCCTATTCCTACAGGCCAGATGCTTCAAACCAGCCCAATCCCTCCCCCATTTACAAATCCAAAATCCATACAGGAATTGAAGTCAAAGTCACTCCCCTCAAACCTCCAACTATATCCCTTTCCATTTTTTGAAACACTATAGCTTGATTTCATGAATGAAGCTCTAAGCCAGGAGAGAGGTATAGGATGAGAGGAGAATGGATAACAGGCTTGTTCATGGCTGACATGGCCAATGTGAGACATGCAGGTTTGACTGCAGTGCCAGCAGAAACACCTCAATATTTCGTACACATTATACATTCAGCTCTCCAATACATGTGCACGCACAGACATATGCACACACACGCATATATACCTTGGCCTAGTAGAGCCAGGGAGGCCAGCTCCTGATGAGTGGTGGCAGCACTGAGAACCTTGGGCAAGACCAGCTTACATGGCAGTTCATCTCTGTAATACAAAATGGTTAAACATTAGTTACAAGAAGAAAAGTACAACTGGAAATTTATATCAATTGGTATCAAGCAAAAGTTATAGCAAAAACCCATTACAGAAGCTTATCTCCAAGTCACACATCAAAGTTTGCCAAGTGAGGATTTACATCCTCATCTGATCACTGAAAAAAAACATGTTACTACAGTACATGTATAAAAATAAAGCCAGTGAATAAATGTTTTTAAAATACTGCAAATTGCCAGATGTCCTACCAAAACAGAGACCCCAAGTCTTCAATGACTAGATTCACCACAGTCTTCAAAAGCAAAACTTGATGTTAAACTGTACAAACAAGTGAAATTACTGCCAAACAGAACCCAGCGGTTGCCAACTTGGAACCACCTTCTGCTCTAACAATCACAGGAAGTACTAGCAGTGATAAATTTAAAACATCATCCCTTGCCAATAAACACTGGGCACATTCACACTGGATTTTTAAAAAACCCTCTACTTCAATCAAAATGCACTACCTATACAAAGGCTCCTGTTTAGCAGTGGGTATTGCAATTGACCTGTTGGGTCCACAGCATGTAGTTCTCCGAGCACTGGTTCAAAATTGATTACAATTGTTTGATCAATTGTCTGGAAGGCACGTTGTTCATACAACTTGAAAAACTAATGTAAACAAAGTGGAGAGCCAGTGCCTGCACCGCGCAAGCACTACCTGTACCTGTACCTCACAGCCATGTTGCCTGGGGTAAGGCGTTAAACACAGGAGCTCATATGCACTCACCTGTGCCTTACCCCAATGATAAACACTCACACTTGGACAAGTACAAACCTTTTAACAGACAAAACATCTTGGCACAGACGAACAGGTTAGACTTGCCTTGCAGCTATACCGAATATAGAGAGGAAAATATCAAACTTCCAAAGCATCAGTTGGATTAGATACTCAGATACAAATCATATATACATAAATGACTTCCTCAAGTACAACATAGAATACAAAGTACCATGCTGAACCATAGATAAGCTTTATATGAATGAGATTGAATGAGATGAGATGAGATGAAACTACTTCTGCAAATCCCAAGATGACATGTTTCTGCTATACTTACTCCTTTACATCCGTGGTTGCTGACCAGGGTATCTGACAGCTAGCCAAACAACCCATTGTTAAGTTTATGGTGACAGTCACAGACGTGCCACTGTCACCTTATTCCAGATCTATAGTAAAACCTTAAACGGCTTATGTAACCCAAGAATATGCAGCATCTAGTTACCAGTCAAACTAATCAAGAGGCAATCTTATCCCTTCTGTGAATAAGTTCCACTGATAGTTTGTCTTCATCAAATCACAAAGTTACAGTACACGCAGTAAAATATCAGTCCCAGTGCACTTCTCTAAGCAAAATGCAACCTTACAGAATCAATAGCAATAAAAAATAATTTGCAGATTAGGTAGATTGATCTGCTTAGATAAACCATAAATATCATTTATCAGTGTCTTTGGGAGAAATAAACAAGAAAGGGAATAGCTACCGTAGTCTGAATAAGTCTGAATAACTTAGACAATTTGAGTGGTCTCTAGTGCTTTGTGTGTACGTGCAGGTGGCTGTGAAGATGTTTGGGGGGGGGGGGGGTCTGATGGCTTGATATTGCATTAGCTGTACCATGTAATTCACAGCAAGTAGAGACCTGCAAGATTTTAATTTAATATTTTACATTACTAGTATGGATAGGATCAAATTTCAGTTAGAAAAATGCCATCAATTTATCAAGTCACTAAACTTTTAAAGTAATCTGCTAATTTGAAATAAGCAAAAATATTAAATAAAAATCAAATAGTTAATAAACATTTTTATTATTCTTAACTAATGTACTTTTTCTTATTGACTTATACTATTTCTGTCATCAGCTAATTATTATGACAACTCTAAACTTTTGATGTTATATTTTTACATCATCATCATCATACTTTCAACTATGACAAAAAACCTTTAAGTATTAAGAATCCTTTTCACGTCATCATCTATTTTATCATGGATTTAAAAAAAAATTTTAATAGGGTGAAAATCTTTTCCATGTCATCATCTATTTCATCACAAATTAAAAAAAAAATTGAGGATATATTTTTTGTCATCAGTAAATTTATATGATGCTAAAAAACTTACAAATGTTCCTTTCTTACATCATCAGCTTCCTTAAACTATGACGGAAAACTTTTTTATGTTAAGAACTTTTTTCATGTCATTATCTATATTATCACGAGTTCAAAATAAAAGTAAACAAAAGCAAAAAATCCCCCCCATTCTTTAAACAATTGGTCCAGCCTGAATCCACATTGTTAGGATGGGTTCCAGGAAACTGAAAGTGACGCCACACCAATTTGGACTTATACCTAACAGCACATAGGTATGCATATTTACAGTTTGGATATGTAAATTCACTTCACCTAAGGATGGGCAATAAGATATGGTTGAGGAAATCGGAGATATTACACCCAGTGCATTGAGAGTGGAGACGCCTCCACCTTTTGTTTGCTCAAGGATGTCAAGAGCTTTCTTACAGGGCAAAAGACACTTGATAAGATACTTATTGAAGAAGCCGAAAATAGACATGTCTAGTAAAAACATAAACGGTGTTTTAAAAATTCCCAGTTCTTCAATCATAACAAAGTTAACAAAATTCTGAATAAACTTTTCATACAACAGTGTCTATGCATATTTTGAACTAAGGAATTTTTCTTACGACATTTGTAAATATTACTTCTATTATAATGAACCTCTTGTAATCACTTCCTTTTTTGGCCCAGCTATAAAAAATACCACAAAGACAGATTCTTAACTATTATCATTGACCCATAATTTTGTGCCACCCTGTATTCAAATAAAAACACCCTGATCTTCACCTAAGAATGATTTATGGAAAAGGATGGACAGGTATTTGTGACATGTACATGTGTATGCGGAAAAAGAAGATATCCGTGGAATATTATAATAAAAGGAACTCCACTCATCACGTGATAATTGACAGGAAGAACATGTAATTTATGAAAAACCACTGGCTAATGCAACTGATGCAAACAAATAACCTTTTTTCACTTTTATTCAAACATCTATGATATAACTGGGATACTTCTAAATCAATCTTTACAAAATACCATGATTGAGAGAAATTGAAGTTGATAATATTCTTTAAGTGTCCTGACACAAGTACGTGGAAAAAACCTGAGCACAGGGTATGCTGCTACCAAAACCGCTAAGGCAAGAGATAAATCCTCCCTTATTCTCTACCCCAGCAGGACATACTTTCAAATACTAGAGATCTCAGTCTGCAGAAAATCAATCACAGAGACAGAAACTAATGGAATCTGCTAATCAAGTTCTACATGTATATACACCTATTGTGAGTCACAATTACTTGAGGACACAAGTAATAGTTGTCCCTAAATGCTCTGGGCACAGGTAAAACAACTCCAGGAGGGTTTTCAACAGTGTCTGGAACCCTCCTGATAATTTTGGGGATTTAAGTCGATTAACACAGTTAGTGGGCACCCTCAATGAAAACTGATGTCTTCATCAGGACAAATTCTCTAATTTAAAAAACTACCAATAGCCTGTCACGACATTAACCACAGATTATATGCAAGTCATCACCTCACTGAACTAATGTTCAGGACAACAGACACGGGGCAGGTGATACTTGATCAGCTACTGGCAACCAAATACTTCACAACAGATCAAGTAACAAGATTCTGTTGAGATATGTCACACCTGCACAAGTTCCAATGTTTATATCAAATTCCTACAAAACAATATAACTGGGATACTTCTGTGTTCAGTAACTTCTGTTTGTATCCGGGACTCATCAGAGTTGAGAAAAAGCTTCATTATTTAAGAAGTAACTAAAAAAACTATAATACACAAGTAGCAAGAAATGACATATGTGAAGAAAAATCTTGTCAAAATGCAGCACAGTTTTAGTTAGCATCTTTTACCATTTGCATACTTTTGTCTAAAATGATATTGTACAAGGTAATATGAATTTTTTTCTTCTAGGTGTCTTAATATCAACTGGCACAATCTTAAGTTGGAGCCTTAGCTACATTCATGAGCACAAAGCATTACCCTTTGCATAAAGAGCACACCAAAGACAGATCATCTTATCATAAAAATAGTACAAAATTCCATTCAGTAATTTCTCTGAAATGAAAACTCACCAACATCAGCAACACCAAATTGTAAGTATCACAGCAGTGCACAGAGAGCTCAATCTCTCTTACTCTCTGAATAAGTGCTCCAATTTTGGTAAGTCTGGAGGCAAATAACTAGCACTTCTGCCTTAAAGAACCTTCTAACGCCCTGACATTGTTTCCAGATTCCCCAACATCAAAACAACACTGCCTCATGAAAAGCAGGTGCCCTAGCAACATTTTAACTCAAAACATCCCAACAAGAAGAAAGAATGGAGATCGCAAATTATTTTGATAACCGAAAAGATGGACAGATGGAGCTGGGGTCAAATAAAAAAAAATGACCAAGCATGCAAAAAAATTATCGAAGATAATGAGATGCCAATGGTCAAAATATAAGCATAGGGCACTACAAATCAGTCTAAAGTAAACACCATTTATTCAGTACAAAGTAATATAAACTACTCCAGCTTTTCAGCCAAATCTACCTGTCTTAACAAAACACATTACCATTATCAAAGCACCTGGGTATTAAGGGCATTTTTCAGTAATCTAAGCAGTGGTCGAAATTCAAACAAACAACAATATGATTCTGAATCATCAAAAACAACCTTACTCAAAAAATTTTTGTCCCATCTTTATGATATATAACTTTTTTTAACCAATTAACTGTGACAGAAAAACTTTTACTTGAACAGCATTCAATGAGTAACAACCATGACTCTGAATCATCAAAATTCCCACAATTCTTGGAAAAGATACTTTTCACTCATTTCTTTTTTCCTTTAAATACTTTAACCATGAAGTTTAGAGGTGCCAATTTTTTAATCACCAATGACTAATATTAAAGTTAAGCATTAGACTTTAATTTTTTTTTTAAATTCAATATTTTTTAAAGCCTTCAAAAATACAAAATAATTCAGATGTATAATTTGCCATGACTTACAGAGTATTAGAGTAATATTCCACCAATACAGGTATGGCAGGGAAGAAGTAATTAGAGCCCTCTAACTGGAGTCCCTGGTCAGTGGTCTGGATAAGGAAGTGCTCTATGTGTTGACCGCAACCTTCGGGCAGACGTACGGAAAGGGCCATGGTGGCCTGCTGGCTGGATTTCCGCACTATAAAAGACTGAAACGAAATAATAAAAAATTTGATGCCACACACACTTATGGCAAAGTTTACTTTGTAATCAAAGAAATTTCAATTTTTTTTTTCTGTTAGATATACAAATTTTTTCTGAAAGGCACACCGGAAGTATCTCCTCCAAACCTAAAGAATTCTTCAAACAATTTGATCCTTTATTTGCTTACATGGCTCATTAGGTGACTAGTTTTATCACTTTGTAAACAATCCATCAATAAAAATGAAACATATCATACTCTTCCATGCAAATTTCACAATGGCGCTTCAGAAACACAAACATAACAGTCATAAAAAATCAAAAGTAGATCATTAGACTTCCGAGTTCATCAAGTGTGACTGGCTGATTAAATAGAACATGTTATTTATTTTGAAATTGATTACAGGACCCCTTTAAAGTGTTGTTGACCTTGTTTCAGATCAGTAAACAGGCACGCACACAATTGCTACCCACACATACAGCATTCGTAGTACTTCTCGCCCTTCCTAACGTATCATATTACACAATGCCGTACGTGACGCTATGGAAAATATCACTAGCTTTTTACACACCTATTACAACATCACTAAAAACTATTTCATAATCAATAATGCTTGTACTACATCTGACTTATTGATTATTTTGCTAAAATGCGTGTTCTATTGTATTAATTTTCTACAACAGGGTGTACTAACTTAGCCCCCAAGAAGTATAAACTGGGTGTGGGTTTATTGTGTGTAATTCATAATAGCTCTGAAAAACACAAACAAGTACTAAATGAACTATGCGCCATTAGCGATGGAAAAGTACTGGCCTCTTCACAATTACATAATCATAAACCATATTCGTTAAATCTATTAACATAAGTCAAATATCTTTAAAGTATTATTTGTATGATAAAGAACATTTTTATCATGATACATACCTATCTGAATAGGTATATTAAACTAAGTGTATATAAAGGAGTAAATATTGATACTGTCTCCAATAATTACAGAAGCTCTAAAAATCATAGATCTTATACTATACATTTTTACAACATCTGACTTTAGATTTTCTTGTCAGGGCTTTTAAAAATTAAAACTTTTACATGATGACTAACTAACCTCATGGTTGATAAAATTGTATTAACTTTGTAAAATTAACATGTAAAGAGTCTGTCAGTAAGCGAAATACTAAAAAATAATTAACAGATAAGGTTTCTCACATGTATTATGTATGGCAACTGATGGAGGAGAAAATATTGATTTTCAACAGGCAAGCGATATTATTATTATTATTATTATTATTATTATTATTATTATTATTATTATTATTTTATGTTTCTTACCCCCACATCCCTGTGCTGTAGGAGATGTATGGTGCCAGCACGACTGATGTTAGGAAGGTACCAAATAGGATGGGTCTTGATCAGCCTCTCCAGGAGTGGGATCTCCCGAGGCGCCTCCTCTTCCGAAATCTTCATACCATTATTGTTCTCCTCAACTCCATTGGAAGTGGTGCTGCTCCTCAAGCTCTGAAATTATAAATCACTGCCGTGGTAAAAAAATGTATTTTCCACACTTAGCTATATCTGACTTATCAGGAAATGTAATTCAGATTTTTAAAAAAGATAGACTGTCTTAAATGTGTGGCGATTAATTAACTTTGGTATTTTTTAACCAAACCATATAATTCACCAACCAAACTGCCAGATTTACCAACCAAACTAAGAAACTACAGGCCCAAGGGTATTAAGTCTAACATGAAATTTCTTCACCATAAAGGGTGACTGTGGATTATCAGTGTGATCTGTGATAGTGAATCAACAGGAAAACATGTCCCCCTAGATGACAGAAGTATACTGCCTGTCTATCCATTATTGTGTGGTGGTGGCGTAAAGCCACACATGGTTATATCATAGGGTTATGGGACTCCCGTGCTACAAGAGGTAATAGACTGGCAACTTGTGGTTGATATGTTTACCCACCGTCTGACCTAAACAGAATGCTCTTTCATCCTAAAAGAAACCTGTTGATTAAGTCACAAAAAAATTAATCCAACACCCTTTATGTCTGATCTTATAATGCCTCGCCAATCCTTTAATTACTCTGTTGTGTCAAACTTTGAGCTTTTTTTAAAATAAACATTTTTGTGAAAAGAAAAGAGTGAAATGTCAGTCACACTAGATACCTTCCAACATTGTTTCACTAGTTTCTCCCATATACCGAGTTTCTTCTGACTGGCAGAGTTTTTACTTTTCCCTTTCATTCGCCTCATGTCAAAGTTTTTTTTATAGGACGAATTCCACTCGGTCAGGAATGTGATACAACATGCTTGGCCATAGATTGTCAATAGCACTGGAACACCCTCTGTCTCTGCTCCCCTTTATAGTCTGCCGTTTCCACTTGACTAGGTACGAGATTAAAAGGCAAATAAACCCAATACAATGTGCTAACAATAGACACACAAATACCACTGCTGTGTTCCTCTCTGTAAATAACTTGGCTCCTGCCGTTTAAGTTTTTGTTTCGCTTGAGTTTATCCGGTCAATCTAGGATACAGACCAAAACTGACTTAATCCATAAAGTCATCACAGGTAAAAAGTGTAGAAATATCCTCGGGACTTGTTTATAGTAGATTGATGTCAATCCTTTACCTTCTAAGGTGAACAAATACAATTCAATGGCAACTTATGGCTTTTCTCTGAACAGGTGAAAAAAAAACCCTTCTAGCTATGGAGGTGATCAGGAAATGGCGGGCTAAAGAGTCCACAAATATTGGAACTGACTTTTTTTATTTGGTAGTTATTTAGTGTCTCACCTATGATGAATCAATACTAATATTACAGAAGCAATAGGCCACTTAACAATAAGTGTCTTTAATGTAGTGTATAATGTAGTGTATAATCTAGTAATGTGGGCGGAAGTCCTGTTTGCACAACAATATCTTAGTCAGCAATACTACACATACAACCAGCGGGAGGGAGCGGACTCTTTTGTTTTTTCTTCTGCATGTAAACCTTTCAAGAAATAATTTATGATTCGCTAAAGAAAATGATTTACTGCCCTAGACTTAAGTTATCTGTCACTGAGACAGGTTAGATTTTTGTACTGGAATGTCACCAACTTTCCTGCTCTTTCAGTCACTGCACATACAAGGTGTATTACATTTAACCTTACCTGGTAATACAGGTATGCTGTCAAATAAATCCCTCAGGAGCCCCATTAAAACCATGCTTACTTTACTGTCTGTTGGCTGATTCACCAAGCAGATATTGTTTTTAAATAAATCTTAATTTGTGCTTTTAATTATCACATCAATATGTGACATGCAAAAATTTGGATTTTTCAAGACTTACCCAACTCTACAAACAAGCAGCCTGACCGACATTTAGCGTGCCATGATATTGTATGGAAAAGGGACTCCTAAGTAACTCAAATGTCTCAAGTCTCAAATTCTCCAACCTACTGAATAAATCTGTCGTGGTGCAATTTCTATTTTTGTTATGACTATTCCTTGCCATTTGAAAGCCCCTATGCTTCACTACCCCGTAGTTATGTCTGTCTCCCATACTGCCATAGATGCCTGTCACAGCAACCCAATGAATGCTTACACCTTTTTATGGTCACTGGAACTCAAAGTCACAATGTCAGAGCAAAAGGAGTCCATATGGTATGTATGTATGTATTCTTAAAAGGTATGGGTCTCTGTAAATGTCACAGATCATGTCTGGGACCGGATGACACGGGTCCTTCATACATAACAGGGGTTGGTGCCGAGTTAAAAGAAATGCTGCTTGAATTATGTCAGATTGGATGCCATTCACAAGCTAGATTTGCTATGTCACAAATGCATTTGTTAACATAAGGAGTTTTAGCACTTCTTTTTTTTTCTATAACTGTTTTCCTAAAGCTTTTTGCAATTAGAAGTCAGTACCAAACCTTCATATGACCAATAGTAAAAATGAGTTCAATGTATCAAAACTTGACATTACAACCCTGTTCAATCATGTAGTTTTTGACAAAAAATCATACACACTACACACTGGTCAAATTCATTCTTTCACTACAGTGAGAGTACTGTTAAACAAACAGTATGGTTTCAATGTTGCTTTTTTTCTTAGCCATAACCTAATGAAATAAATTATGTAAGCTAGACTGGGGATTTACCACCCAGGGTTTGAATCAATGAAGCCCTTGGGGTCTGTGACAAAGTTAAATAAAAATAATTCCCATTTTCTAACACAATATATTTCATAGCAACTTTAAATGACTTTGATATATTTTTTTTTGAAAAATCATTTTATTTGACTAATTTATTTTGTTTTTAACAAGAAAAACTGGTGGAAATCCTATGTTACAGAAAACCCAAACCCCACCCCTTGCCTATTACACAAGCCACACATAGGATTAGGGGTATTCAAAATAATCATCATGACCCGGTTGGTTCTAGAGGTCAATCAGCCCACGGAGCTAAGGGTCAAGTCAATACAACCGATCAGCAAAAAGGTGTGAGTTGGTGTTTACACTGTCACAATCGCATCCAGGTGTGCTTTCCACCATTTTCCTAAATCTTTTCAACTCGGGATCAGTCCCAATGTGGGGACTACACACTTGTTATGTGACAAAAAGCCAAAAAACCAATAATAATAATCCTCTTAAGGGTGAATTCAGCTGCTACGGCCTTGTACATGTCCTAAATAACAAGCTAAATATTCCCTTCATTACAATAGGTGTTTTTATTTAGATACACCTGCTCATTGTGCAATTAAAAAGGAAAGCATGTTCACATCAAAGGGGTCATGAGAGGACATGTTGGTTTCTGGAGTGCAGCCAGTTGTGTCATTAAGTTCATAACACTGATGACAAAGTCATTTTATCTTCATTGAACATGCACAACTTGTCAATATCTATATGAGGAGATTATGGTTAAGCAATTAATCAATCCAATATGTACATTTATGGCATGACAATATTATTAATGTTTGAAAAAAGTATCAGGGCTGCCAACAATTTACTTGTCAAATTGTTTAATCTTATATTCAACATGTTATTTATAACAGATTAATACCTCAGATCAATGGTAATTGACACCCCATTGTAATGTAAAGAAATTCATTTCAATATGTATAAAAATATGAAGAATATTACAGGAATGGAATTACTTTCGTGTTTCCATTTCACAAGAACACGAGACATCTAAGAATAAATTCACTCCTTAATTAACATAATTGTGAAGTGTAGCACAAAAATCAGTTCAAGGCCTAAATTCAGGACGGAGTTCACACAATTTTTTTTTTCCAGAAAGCAGACGACTTGCATGCTCTCAAACATCTGGGTCACACTCAGCAGCATGTGTTCTCCTTTCTAGGCACACAATGAATGTTAGATCTCTATACGGAAAACATTTCATTTTCCTGGAAATTGCTAACTTTTTCCTTAATCATCAAGGTATGTCATAATATCCAAAACTGTTCTCAGAATAACGAGCCATAAACACATATTTGAGTGCTAAGATTTTAGTTTTGAGTTACTCCCCAATGGAGTCAGAGACTGGTGAACTTCATTCATGATGGTAGAAATTAGAATAGTGATATTCCCTCAATCATCAAGTTATGTCATAATATCTAAAATGGTTCTCAGAATAACGAGTTCTAAGATTCTAAGATTTTAGTGTGAAGATAGACTGGTGAACTCTCAATGGTTTTAGGATATGTTTATATATTTGATATATGATGTCTAACATTAACTGTATGCCTTTAACGAACCAACCTCCAGCTCATTTTGCTGATATGACTGCCAAAAACAAGAATAGCCAGTCTCCTTTCATGAGCTAATTAAAAAAAAAACTTGGCTTCTGTTAACTTTTTTACTTTGTTTTGATTGCGACCAAATGCACATGAAAGTTAATCACCCCCTAGCTGCTGGAGGAGGGATACCATTCAGTTAATTTGATTGCATTCATTGAGAGTCCTTGTGAAATTGGATTGATCCACCTAGTACAATAGTTTTATTGGGAACACGCCCTAAGTTTTACTGCAAATATGGCTGAACTTTCCCTCACCTCAGAGTTCCCAGGTCTTGTAAGACTGTCATCTCTTGAGGAAGAGGAGGAAGATGTGCGGTCCTTCACCAGCCCAGGGTCAGAGTCAGATATACTGTCACTGGATGTGTCATCTTCTGTTCCTGCTGCCACATATTCTTCAAGCAGTTTCACGTTGCTGGAAAAAGAATTATAGAACTCTGAACTGTGCTCTCTACTAGTCAAAATACTTAATGGCCATAACTGTTTATGGTCTATATATATCATATTTTAAGATGCAATTTTGTCAATTCATGTTTTAAAATATTTAACATATTTTGACAGTGAATTCTTCGTTACAGGTATTGCCATTTAACATTGGATGCAGCAGATCTATACATTTTGAGAATGATAATATTGGTGCTGCTGAAGAATGCATTGAAAAAAAAAATAGAACAAAATCTTCATCAGCGTGTTTGGTTATCAGTATTATGGTATTTTTTGCAAACCTTCTTTAAAACAAGCCATATAGGTACAACTTTGTTTGATTAAAAGTAACAAGTCATGAAATGTGAATGAAATGCAACATGACATCTGCAAACTAAACACCAATTACATTTTCACATTACCAGCAGTTACTAATAACCAATTACAATGTGTAGTTTACAATTTCTCACACCATTACCCATGATTCAGAGAATATAAGATTTGTCAACTTCCTTACACACTAAGTACATGAGACCAGGGCTGAAGTTATTAGAGGCAAACATAAATAACTAATACTTGACTTTTGACTTAAATGCAGCTGCAATTTCATTTCACAAGCTAAGCTATTGTTGAATGCTTGTGCAAATTAATAGGAGCAAAATTGAAATATATAGCATTTAAAGCCTGGTCTGACACATGTTCTCAGAATGAAGTTACAGACTTGGTATGTTTGGGTCTGGGCAGATTTAGAAAGTACTTGAGATTTCTCAGAAGAAGGTCTGAATTTTCTTGAAAAATGTATTATGTAATTTGAGTAATTTGATGTCTGTGCTGACTGATGACATGTCAATTCCTATAGATATCAGGCAGTTTTAATAACTGTTTCCTCTCTGGCTTTTAATCTCCACCCACCTTTCTAATAATCCCCTTTACCCATATCACTGGCCTCCCAAAAAAGGAAAATTCAGACCAACAACAGGCAGGAATCAATGCAAATAATTCATGTTACCCATCTGTCAAGCCACTGCTTCTTGGGGAACAGTTACAGCATTAATTACACATATTCAGAAGTGCATCTTCTTCACCATTATTGCAAATTATTACATTACCTGCTTATCAAATCAATCAATCTCTTCCTGTCTAGACCACAGATTATCCATATCATATCAGTCCCCCATGCTGTAAGCCTAGATTGCCTTAAGAGATGACACCGAGGATAACATACAGACCTAATTAAAACTCAACTCTTATAAAACACTATGCTGTTTTTTAACCTTGTGCAACCTTCCTGAAACACTGGGGTTTACATCAAAGGGTTTCCTTTTGCACACAGAGCACCTAATCAATCAGCCAAGGAATGCCAGGTAGCAGACAAAGGCCAGCCCACACTATGATGTATAAGCTGAGTTAGCAACCTTGAAAGACTGGAAGTTAAGCTGGCTTACATGTTCTCTCACTTTTGAGGAATTTCAGGAGAAAAATAGTAATATAAATCTGCATCTGGCTGATAAAGTTGAATGCCTGTTGCTGTTTTGGCAAATATTTCACTGTTTACAGGTCTAAAACCAAATATACCCATAAAACAGTCCTTTTAAATGAAATTGCCATTTTTAAATTTGAGCCACAGACTTGTAATTGACACTGCCTAATTCCAGTTCAGTTTCATGGAGCATTCATAAAAATATACATGTTGTAAGCACCACAATATACCTATACATTTATTCAAAAGGTTTACACTTCATATGTGGGGTCCATATCATCCTTAAAGACAACCTGTCTTAATCAATCACAATAAGTTTACTAATCAATTGAAAAACATGCTTTGAATTTACCATTGTAATAGCAGTCAGCAATAAAAAGTTTGGGTTTTTACCACTGGAATACATCTTTTTTTTTTTCGAACATTTACTCAAACAATTTTGTCCTGGTTTAACCTTGAATTTGAACAGGGCTGTTATTGATTCAAAGCTGGGCTCTAGTTTTACGTGATCAGCACTTTGACTGCATGGCCTTGGTGAATAATGGAAGTCACAAAGATCAGCCTTCTGTCATGGTGGTATTATGACACCTGTCAACTCCTGATCATTGAGTAGCTACTTAGTAGTTCACCCTAGTCGCACCATGACAGAGGTCAATAGTACTGATGTGCACATCATTCAGTCACACTGCTATAATTTTATTCAGCCCCACACCACCACTGCTTCTTGTTGTAGTTTCATTTCTGCTACAACTTGCTGCACTGTCTTCGCCTATTATTTCTGAAACATTTTAACATTATTAATAACTTCTATATAAAAATCACACAGTAAATCAAGTATCACTGCTCATTCAACTACTTATCTCTACCGCATAAAATGCCGCAATTACTGGCCTCCCAATTAAACTAATGTCAATTCCATAACTTCTACTTATTGCTATGAAAATATTGGTGCATATTCTTCATACTTAAGTCTAATGTTGAAACTTTCATAAGATAACAACCCAGATATCCAGCCACCCAGGCCCCCAGCATTTATATTACCTAGGCTAGGAACTTCTTAGCAATCTCACCTGCCAGACTTTTCTCAACAACTGAGCTAAGGCAAGTTTCTCAAAGGAGCTATGGCCTAGAAATTGGTCTAAACTTAACAAACACAAATTCATTCAGTTTCAGATTAATCCATAACATTCAACTTGAATAAAGTAAGTATTGGTCTGAAAGGTAAGCCATGTCTTTCCTTTTATAAATATTATTTAAATAAGACAACTACTGTTTTATATTAGGCCAATTAGACTGAAATTTTGGTCTAAAAGTTTAGATCACTTTCAGGGGCGGATCCAGAGAAATTTTCTGACAGTCTTCCAAATTTTCTTTGTTGATCCATCTTCCATTTTTGACGATCTTCCGACAGAAAACATTAAATGGTTGACAATGTAAAGTTGAAAATCTGACCGTCTTCCAGAAGACGGCCTAAATCCGCCCCTGACTTTACAGGCTAAAGCTCTTACATGAAACAGGGCCCAGCAGCAGTATTACCTGATTCTCTTTAACACGGTTACTTTACACAGAATGACAAACAAATCATTGATGATTCTCCACCTACTGGTGTGGTATTCATATCTCCTGATGAATGTTTAGAAAACTGAATGATTTCCCCAGTTAAACAGACACCAGAATGCTGGAATTGTAATTATAAGGTTGTCCTTAAACTGACATTTCATTACTACTTTGTTTGTATGTATTTATAATTTAAAAAAATAAAATTCCAAAACAATGTTCTATCTCTAAAGACTTTATTAAAACCCTTTTTTGATCTCTGACTTGTTACCACTCACACACACATGCATACATAAAAGCAAGAAAAATCAGATGTTTGGTTAAAACCTGCCAAACTGAAAATAAAACAGTGTCTCAGTTGATTTGTGGATTATATCGCTGATCAATTTACACTGAATGCCAATCACTATGACAAGGGTGAAAAGTATCAAGCATTTGCTGAAGGCAAATCAGCTCATCCACAGAGGTACCCCTTGTATTCAAAAACTCCTCCAGACGATCAGATCAGCGAGCATGTACCCCCTTCCCTCTCTGACCTATCCACAGTAGCAGGTAATTCAAAGGGCAATCATCCAATTGCTATTATGTATATCTTTTACACAGTCTAGACTAGTTAGCTTAGAAGATAAACTGCTTGATGTGTAGACAAACTGTGTAGTACTACTAGAGGCAGATTTTAGAGAAATAAAAAGCATGTCTTAATCTCCCAAGCATTGTGGCATATAACCCGGAATATTTGTTCAATGGCTAGGAACTATCAGACTTCTATTAAAACCTTACAACTATGCCAGGAGTGCAGACAGGTTGAGGCCACAAGAGGTTGCTCAAACAACTGCTTGTTTCTTGCTTACAAGTAAAAGCAAGTTCCAGATCAGGTTCAAGTTCCTAGGAAATATTAGTACCTTAAACTAATTTATTATTTTTTTCTCATTATTATTTTTTGATTATGAAGATTTTTGTTTAGCAATAGGGGCGACTTTCATCTAAAAAAAACCCCATAATTTAGGAATGCTGCACAAGTATTCTATGTATATAACAGTCATTGATTTAATTCTGTTATTATATAAAGTGGAGGGCATAAAGAGAGAGTCATAGTGAACTGGGCTCATGCTTTGTCATGAAATTTGAAGAACATGAAAATGTTTTTCTTTTACATCTTTTTTGTACCATGAAGTTACATAACTGATATGTGTGTGTGTGTGTGTGTGTGTGTGTGTGTGTGTGTGTGTGTGTGTGTGTGTGTGTGTGTGTGTGTGTGTGTGTGTGTGTGTTTTCAATTGATTGAAGAATCTAAACCTGATTTGTTCATGAAATAGATATAAAACTTTCAAAAAAGAAAATAATAAGAAAGAAACTTAATCCACTTCTCCAAAAGTTTTAGCAACAGAAAATCAATCCTACTGAACACGAAAAAATTGCAACTCATAATATAATAAAAAGGAAAAAACCTTCCAGTCCATGTATAAGGGAGTGTCATGAGGCATCAAGTCCCCATAAACTAGTCCCAGGCAGTACAAATCAATGAATGCTCGGAGATATCATGTCAACAAGCATTTGTGTCACTCACTGCCAACAGAAACAAATTTGACACAATTTATGAGCAGTGATAGTATCCTAACAGTGATACAGCATGTGCGTGTTAGGCCCTATGATTGCCTATTATCACTCGACACATAATCAAATCTGGGAGTTGATGACAGTTCTATATTCATAAACATTTATTTAAACATCAGCCTTTCAGTTTAAGTTTCATAAATAAAAAAACATAACAGGCTTTTTGTCTTTGGCACAATTCTGATTACTTTTTAGTTGTATGGGTTTCCTTTTTTAAGATCTTGTAAGCTGGATGTGCATACAAAAGGTCTTTTTTTTTACACGGCCATGTCTGGCAACATCTCAATTTAGCAAGTCCTAAGCATCATTAAACAATTAGATATGCAAGTCACAAACTTAAT